AGACTACAGTAGTTGGAATTACGAATTGTCACTCAAGGGTTTAGGGTTTAGGGCTTAGGTCCTTCAAGAGGGTCGCGGTACTTGGACCCTTCTCAGGGCTAGCCCCGAGCAGGTATGCCAGCAGAAATCAGGAAAGATAAAGCCAGTTTCGCTTCCCTTGAATGTTCCTGCCCACTCCACGGATCCTCAAACCGTGCATTTTAGGCTCTTTGTAGAGTTGAGATCACTCCTTGAAGCACGTTACATCTCGCAACTACATCCGTTCGGGATGGGCATCGGTCCAGACCAGAGGCTAGGGAGAAAATTGTCGTTCTGACCAGCATGTGGGAACATGCGGTGTCTTCGACATGCATTGCTTCATATTCGCCGCAGCTTTCACAGACTAAGACCCCAGACCCCAAACCTCAACACCCTCAAACCCTAAACCTACACCCTGAACCCCTAACCTTGAACCCTAAAACCAATGGCAGCCTGGTTGCAAGTCCGATCCGCGAATGCGGATTTCTGTGATGCAGCCACCACTTGGGCTTGTTGCCAGGTGGAATTTCTTCAAATTGACCCCGTTGGGTCTAAGGCTTAGGGGTTTAGAGTTTAGGACCTCAGGCTTTATAAGGTTCCCTTGCAATATCGAATCATCCCTAGGGTCCTTAAGGGCCCCCCCGTTTTTTGAGAAATCCACAGGTTTCTGTTTCTCAGAGGAGCCCTTGCTTCTTCGGTAGAGGCCGACCCTTCACCCTGCGTTTTGGCAGACACAGCTGAAAAGGCTGTCTTGATACCCAGCGCCCTTGCGCTGGAGAGATGCAACCATGACGTCTGGAGTGGCTTTTATCAAAGGACACTGGCTTACGGTGGATGATGGTGTAGGGTTGAGCCGTCAGCTTCTGGGGTTCAGGGTTTAGGGTTTAGGTTCTGCGTGCAGTGTTGAAGATGTGTAGGCTTTCGGATCCACAGGACGCTTGCCGTTGCCACGCGACCTCTTTCAGAAACCTGGTCTGTACGGACCGTGCGCACTGGTCGTCTCTTGGTTTTACTCGTTTCTTGCAGCCGAGCGGCTTCAACCTCTACGGCTCAATAAAGGGGGTCTCCGAAAACTAGGGGTCCCTTTTTGGCGGTCCCCATGCGGCTACGTAGTGGGGATTTTAGTTTTGGAGGTATAAGAACTGGGTCCAATACAGCCAACAGAGCTGCGTTCTAAAGCTGTATCTCTCTGTCGAACCCTCACATCATTCTCAGCAAGACCCCTAAGCTTGGGGTGCCTAGTTTGAGATGTGGCAGTTTTCCAGAGGTTTACTTAAAAGGGATCCCCTAGTCCTACTCTAACTCCGTTCTAGCGTATACATTCCTTGATCTGTAGGGGCCCGTCTTTCGAGAAGCCCCCTGCATGTATTCGACAGGGACCACCTTGGCAGACAAGGCTTCATGTTCCCGTCGAGCGCGTTGGGAGATGATCGACTGTCGTTCCACACGGCCTTCTGGAGTAACGACACTACCGGCAGCTGGTCGTATAAGGCCTTGATGACATTATGAAAGTACATGTTGCCCGAGGACTTGATAGCATGGTAGCTTAGAGGGCTCTGTCCTTGCGAAGCACATGTTCCAAGGCAGCACTCTGAACAAGCACTTTTTCCCTCGCTTCCGCAAGATGCTGGCCAAACAAAAGTGCGCACTGACGATCTCAGAGCCTGCTTTAGTTTATAGGGCGTTCGGCCCCCGGAGTTTTCAATATGGGCACGTGATGCCCGACTTATTGCCAGCTCCTGGGCCCATAATTTTGGGAAATCATTTCTGTTTTGACTGTAGCAAGCTATGTCTGCGAATAGGCCGCCCCTCATAGAGCCGCCAAGACGATGGGTAATCACAATTGCACCAGCCCAGTCCAACATTTCCTTAACCCAAAGCAGTTAGATACATACATACAGTTCTCAACTATCCACATTGCTAGCCTTACAGCCGCACATGGGTATACAGGCCGAATTCTGGGTATGACATCCCACATGATGTGGGAGGTCTAGGTCCCTTTTCACCTGGGTTCTAGGATCACCCAAAGTTGGTAGCAGGGTGGGTATACTTGACATCTTGGGACTTCCTGTACTCCTCGAAAAAAGTCTGGATTTCTTTGGCTTATAACCCAGCAACACTGAGAAGGACAGCACCTGAAACTAGATCATGGCTTTAGGGCTCTACGGTTCTGGCAGTTAGGGTTTAAGAAATAGGGTAGCCAAGGCTCAGGATTTAGGGTTCAGGGTGCATGCAGCTTTTGGCAGCATGCCATAGTGCAGGATTTGGGAAGTTCTGCATGTATAGTCCCCCTTAAGTAGATAGAACATGGGGTATATGGGAATCTTATTTAATATGTCCAAAGCCATATTATATCTACTTGAGGGGGACTATAGTGTCGTGAGGCGATATATTGGGCCTACAGCCACTTGGATCCTGCCAAGATCATGGTGGAGAAGGATATATCGGGCAGGCTGGGAACCGTCCTGTCAGAGCTTAAGGGTATTTGACCCCCACGCTTCGCCAAAAATGAACACCCTCTATCTAAACTCCTTAAAGCGGTTGTATAGGGGATTATATAGGGGACCACTATAGGGGATATTAAGGGGGATACAGGGATTTTAGACCAGGGTTCATATGATCACAGGATTGCTTATAATAGGGTTTAATTCGGGGGTCGGCTTACCAAAGCCCTCTTAGTAGCGTAAGGTTTGGCCAAACCTTAACGCCCAAGTGCCCACGGTATGAGTTGCTGTCACATAGTTGTAACACCTACAACCCACGAAGACAAGATTTCCGCGCCCGGGTCTTTAGAAATATACCAGAACAAGGAGACCTCTCGAAATTGTCGGTTCCAGCAAGATTTAGTCCGGTTTCGTATGCGGACAGCTCTTTTTTCAAGTAGCTGACAGAACCGACCTTCCTGGTTGCCCATTGCGCTCGCGGCCCTAAACCCTAAACCGTGTTTTCCCTAAACCATGTAAATCCTACGGGTGGAAAATGAACTACGGGGCATCCTGTGGATGAGTTTGGTTTTGGCATCCACTGCAAAATGGACAAGATGAATCCCATGGACCCAAAACCCTAAGGTTCAGGGCTTAGGGTTTAGGGCTTAAGGTTTAGAATTTAGGGTTTAGGGTATAGTGTTTAGGTTTTAGGCTTAGAGTCAAATGTATGAGAGGTATAAAATCCCATTCTTCAACCCTGAACCCTGAACGCTAAGCCAAACACCTGACACCTCTAACGTAGAGGCCTGGAAAGCATCCTTGTTATTCACCTGTAACCATTTTATAGCTCTTTCAAAATGAATCCCAAAGACCTCATGAGCGGAACTAAATAGGCCCCTACGCTACACTCCCTGTAAAACTCGCACGTAGACCCAGTTTACATGTAATTTTCCGGTGTCTTTTCCATTTGATTCTCTATTATTATACATGTGTGACCGTAGGCCCGCCGTAGGCCCTAAACGCTACGGTACGTTCTTGGAGACAAGCACTTGCTGAAATCAGAGGCTCCCTGACTTCGTGAACTGGGTCGGCCCCAAGCTAGGCCGGAGGGCTTATAGGGTTTTGGATATGAGGTTTTAGGACTCATGAGAGGGTTCAGCGGGTTTGAGTTGTTCTCCAGCATTTTGCAACCGCAGGGTTTTTTTTAATCCTTTGGGCCCTGGAGTCCACGCATAAGAAGCACCTGAAGGGGTGATTTGGGATTTGGAGGGTTGATCTAAAGGTCCTTTGGGGAAACTATTTCGGGATGATGCAGGTCGATAAGGGAAGATATTGGACATCATTTTCCAGAATAGCCACATTGGGATGAGGAGTTTTTGATCACCTACCATTGACAGCCTAGGGTTTAGGGTTGTTGGAATTGATTCTCCGGAGTCTCAGGGTTGTGTAGTTCTTTTTAAGGTTTAGGGTTTTAGGGTTTAGGGTTTAGGGTTTTGGGTTTTGGGATACTACGATGGCGACTTTGCTTACGCTGAGCTGCAACAAGAATGAGTATTTTCTTATTTGCTTCAGCTGCTAAAACAACACCGTTCACATGCTGTATGAATATCTCCGTGAAGCTGTCAGGGTATTCCGCAGGGCCCATAAAGTACTACAGAATGTTGAAGACTACCACGATGTTTCCATGACAATAGCTAGTATACCGAACACCGAAGCTCTATTCTAGTCAGATAGCTTCTAGAGTAAGTAGTCCATGTCAATAGTCATCAACCCCGAACTAGGTTCACCTTGGATCCAGGCTGTATCGCATGAAGTTTCCAGTCATTCGAGTGCGTGGATTTGTCCAGGGCTGTTGTTTGGTTTGTCATTGTCAGTTTCGACCGGGACTTGCTTGCTATGTTTTTGTGGCGTTCAGGTTCAAAGAGTGCCGAGAAGTCGTGGGGTGTTCGAGCAGTTGAGTATACATGCGTTGACCAGGACTTCTGCAAGTCACATCTTTTTGAAAGCCTGATGACCAGCATCCTATAGGTGCACGCACATTATCAAAAATCCCTGGAAGCAACTAGCGCGGGTACTTGGGCTCTAAACGTTATACATCCCCATGCATCATACTTACCCCTAATATCCTTATATGCCCAGATATGTTCCTATCATGTGTCCCTCCCTAGATATCCACTTTCTCCTGGGGATCCCTATGGGGCAGCAGGTGAAAGGATGATCTTCGTGCCTGCAGACACTGTCGTATGTGCAGATGCTTCGCTCACCAGAGCAGCTTTTCAGTCTCTTTGTTTTTTTGAACTTAGGGTTGAGGAATCAGGGTTGAGGATTTGGGCCCTAAACCCACCATGAACCCCTAAACCCCAAATCCATGAACCCCTAAACACTTTTTCCACTATGTCCATGCCCAACTTCACATGGCTTAGGAGGGGCAGCTCTTGCTCCTTGACCCTCCGCACCTTGGTTAGGGCTTAGCGCTTAGCTGTTGGGGTTTGGGGTTTAGGGCTTAGGGGGGAGCTGTTAAGGTTCAGGGTTAGGGGAGTTTGGGGTCTAGGGGGTGTGAGGTGTCGAGTTTTGCGGTAGGGTTAAGAGGGAGTGAAGGTCTGGAAATGGCAAAGGAACAGGTGAAGTCTCTGTTGGGCTTGGGGTTCAGGCTCAGTAGAATGCAGTGGTCATAGGGATTAGAATGAGAGAGATATATGGGAGACTTGTGTAGGGATCCGTTTGTCTACTCCCTACTAACCAGCGGCCCCGAACCTCAAATCCTAAACCTAGACCATTACTTCACCCTAAGCCGTAAACCCAAAATCCATGACCCATGACCTCTTAAACCTAAACCCTAAGCCCTCCACTCTAAGCGCTAGACCCAAAACCGATAAACAGGAATACCCTAAACCTTAAACCTATACCAACCGGCAGTAAGGCACTGGATGAAAAGGCCCGAAAAGCTGCGGGTGGCCGCTCTCTATGCACCTCTGAGGGCCTTTCTGGCGTGCCTCAGCTTAGAATACTTTGAGGTTCAGGCTTATCATAAGCCCAAGTAGATTTACAATTGTACTGATAATCCCACTTAGAAGCCCCCTAAGTCCCCTGGTATGCTCATAACCTGCAAGTAGCGATTCTTGGCTTAGTTTAAACCCTAGGACCTGACCTGGCGCAGGCTTTGAGCGGGGGATCTTCGCACTAGCTTGAGAATGAATGCTCGCCATGTAGTTGATTGTAACCCTAAGGGTCCAAGTACCCAATAAGTATATACTTACCCAAAACCTGTGTTATAATCCCTATTAGCCAAAGCCCAAGTCCTTAATTATTGGGTACATGGACCCTCTAGGTAACAGGGCAAATCACACGGACCACACCTCATCTCTTCCCCTGCTGTGATTTACGTGGGCAAATGGGTGATAACTACAAGGTTCCTGAAAAGATTTTTTAATTTCTGTTACCTAGAATCCTAATATTTAGCTGAAATTATAATTTCTACTGGGGTTCCAAATCCCTTAGAGGATAAGACTAGCTCATTTCCGTCTCTGGAGTTAGTACCTCTGGCTTACCAGCTTCCATTATTGGATTTGAGCTTCATTGCCGATTTCGGATGTACACATTGCTTTGGCCAGTCTTTGCGCTGGTCAAGATTGCATTGCAAGTGTACAAGCGTGCTCAGCCAATAAGCTTTTCTGCCCTGTTCACGTGGTGAGTTGACACACTGTGAGCCTTTTTTGGTCTCTCGTGTAACTCCGCCCCCCAAAAAAACGGGGCCATAATTTTGAACCCCCTCCCCCATTGATAACGCGAGTTCCCAATGTCTGGCTAAAGATGCCTTTGCAATACCATGGTCCTGGGACAGGGTGTGGCTGATTCAAAAGGCAGTACTCCATGCCAATCCGTAAACCCTAAGTCCCTAGGAACCATGCCTCAGCCGTTGCCCAAAGTCCTGTATGTACCCAAGGGCGCCTGTGTAGTTTCTTTTTTGGTTAGGGCTTAGGGCTAAGGGATTAGAATATAGTACCCCAAAAAGGAACTACATAGGAGGGTCTGGGTAGACGTTGAAGTGCGGGAACTTCAACGGCTCAGGCGCACGAAGCCGATGCATCCTGTGGACAAAGTAGTTGCGTATGAGCGGGTTGTCGGAACGACATCCACTGGAAGGCGGCTCGGACTCCCCCTAAACTGGATCAATGTTAGGGATCCTTTATACTTTTTTGGGGTATGGGATTCCTTTTATTTAGGTAAAAAGGATCCTCTTTTCTTCCTAGGGTAATGTGGGCTAAGTAAAATGGAGAATCAAATGGAAAAGAAAGTGGAAAATGAAATGGAATATGGGGTAATATAGGGATTTAAGGAACTTCACAATTAAGTCAGTATACAGAGCCTTTTGGATTTTTTAAGGTTAGCATCACGTCGAAGCTCTTGAATCTTACAGTTCTTGCAATGACGACCTAAACTACATTCCCTGCAACCTAGGCTCGTAAACTCTGAACCGCAGACACTGTAATGTAGGGGCCAATTCATTGTCAATATTATTGGTCTAGTTTCCATTTCGAATTGTTGTATAGGGTGCCTCAAATGCACCTCAAACTGATATGGGTATTCTGCGTTTTTGAGTCCAGGTTGTTGGAGAAGGCGCAGTTCAAGCGTTTGCTCGAATTGGCGTCCGAAGCTTTGCGGGCTGTGGGGAAAGCTTCTGACAGCATCGTGGTGTACAGCGGCAAGCAAAGGCGCAAGATTTAACGGCTTGAGGTTTAGTGGTAAGGGAGCACGGCAAGGCGGCCCTAGTGTAGTCCTCAATAGAGTGCTTGAGATTCCCTTTGCAATGCCCATCTAGCTGCAAAGGGTCGCTCAGGGCCCACCTATTTTGAGAAAAGGTCAGGTTGTTGGGATTGTAGCGTTGCAGATCTAGGATGTGCCCTCGGGTATCCAATTTCAAAGCCTTCAACCGGAGACCCCTAACCCTAAACCCCACAAGAGCTAGACCCTAAACCCTATAAGCCCTAAACTCTAAGCCCTAAACCCCAAAACCCCATAGGCCTAAGCCCCAAACCCTAAACCCTAAACCGGCCTAAGCCCCAAACCCTACACCGTCCCAGCGTTCTGCGAGCCCCTTGGGAAGGAATAGCCTGGAGATGATGAGCTTCGTGCCTTGGTACATTTGATGAGTTTAGGGTTTAGGGTTTAGGGTTTAGGGATTATATAGGGATTATAGGGTATATATTGGGGTTATATTGGGATAATGGAAAAGAAAATGGAAACTACTATTTAGGGTTTAGGGGGGGTACCTACTAATAATGGAGAATCAAATGGAAAAGAAAATGGAAGATGAAATGGAATCTGTGGTTATTGGGGATATAGTATTTTATTTGGGGAGTTGGCCAAAAACCAGGGTTGAGGGGTTTAGGGGTATAGGGTTTA